TTTTTTTTTTAATCCAATTTTCTTATACCAGTAATTGGTACTTGAGTTGGTTCTTTAACAACCACCCATCAAGTGTGATCTGTGATGGAATCAGAATTTTGTGATTGGAAAAATCCTGAAAGCTTTTCTGTTGTAGACCGGAAGAGAGATTTTTTGGTAAATGCTTCTTTTTGTTTTCACATGATGGCTGAAAAGCCCTTATTGCCATCACTTAAAAAAAAAAAAAAGTTCTGTGATTTGATTATATAACATTTACTTGAACTTAGATTCTCAGTAAATATCTTGTTGAACTGAAATGAGCATTGTGCTAGACCCTGGGCAAAAAGGAACTTGATTATTTACTTGAAGGTGTTGGCAGTGGTCAAGGTCATCCTGTATCAAGGACTTAACAGGTTCTGAAGCTGGATCCAGATTCCCCCCAAATCAGCCTTCTTTACGTATTGAGCAGCTACTGCTTTTTCAGAAGCCATGAAGAATGAGGAAACCAGGTTTTATAGCTTGGCAAAGTAACTGGTGGCCTTGCTTTTGGACTGGAAGATGTCAGTGAGCGTTCTGGTTCTGGCAGTTTGCGACAAGCTTTGTAAATAAAAAACAATATTGCTGTGCTCCTTGATCTTTCAACTATAAAATGCTTGTGATGAGACCTAAGTAAAATGGGTTTGTTATACTCAAGATTAAATATGTGTAATCTATAGATACTGCTGAATGAATATAGTGTATAATTTTAAAATTAAAAACAACCTCCCCCATAAAAAAGTTGGATTTGGTTTCTTTCATAATAGTTCAAACCCATGTCATCATTGTTAGACTATATCCTGTTGTCCTTGCAAGTTTGGAGAAAGCATGAATGAAATTCATAAGTAATCCCAGGAAAGTATTATATCTTCCTAAATTTTTGTTAGTGGGCTCATTAATTTGAACTACTTCTCTTACTCTACTTGTGTGTAGTCAAATTTAAAACTAAGAAACCATTCAGAGATACGAAGGCTGTAGTAACTACATATAACTCAGTGATGTAGAATGAGCTTAGCATGTGGGATTTCTGGGTTTCATCCCCAGCGCCTTTCCCCAAAGGAGAGATAAAAATTATAAATATAGGTAAAATTCTCTGAAATTACGCATTACGGTGTTTTGTACTATAAACACTCCCCTTTAGAGATGAAAAGGGGGCATGCCACCGTCTTTTCAGTCATTCTTACTCGTGTGTAATGATGCTGGTGCTGTGGCTGAGCAGACAGTGCTGAGCCTTTCGCATGAATTATCTTACTCAGTTCTCAGTAGTGCTGTTTTGCAGTTGAAATTAAGCACTGGAAAAATCTACTATCTTTTTTTTATTATTATACTCAGTAAGTATTGTTGGCTAACTTGCGTTGCCCAGAATTTTCAACTCCCAGCACCTCTAAATTACCATATTTAGAAGTTTTGTAAAGAGATGAATAAGTTAAAATGAAGGCTTTAGGGTAGGGACCACATCCAATACAACTGTTGTACTCATCAAATTAAAAAGAGCCAGTAGGTAAATGTGACATTTACACAGAGAAAATAACCTTTTGTGGACACAAGAGAGTGCAGCCATCAGCAAGCTAGGACAGAGGCCTTTGGAGAAGCAAACCTGTGAATGCCTTTATCTTGGATTCATTCTCCAGAACCGTGAGACAATGATTTATATTTATCCAGCCCAGCCTGTGGTGGTGTTTTTTGTTACAGCAGACTTATTAGCAAGCTCATATGTCAGATAGAGCCCACATTTAAATTCCAGTAACAGTTACTTTGGTATAGTTGACTCACTTCTCTGGAGTCTCAGCTGTACTTACCATAGGGCCATGAGGAATAGATATCCTGCTGTATATGAAAGTTGGGAAACCCCCACAGAGGCAGTGCCACTGGCCATTTCTGCATTTGTATATTTAGCACCGAGAAATACACGTAGAGCATTCTTTAAGAGATGCCATGTATTGATTTTTATGCTTTTTTTTTTTTTTTGGTCATAACTGCCTTATGCTACACAGGTGTGGAAGTTTTAGAATTTAGTGTTATTGGGACAAAACGAAATGCACATATTTGGGATGTATAAGTTGGTAATTTTATCATAATACATATGGAATTTCATTGAATAAATGCTCTTGAGTCTAGACTGTTAGCAATATAATTTATCTTAGTGCATTTAAAGGCAGAGGTAACCAGATCTTCATAGAGCCTTCAACTCAAATAGTCCTCTCCCTGCTTTCCCTTTTGCTCTCTCCCTTCACACACACCCCTTCTCAGAGAGGGTTTTGATCTTGTGTAATTCAGCATCCTCATAGTAGCAGTGATCCCTCTGCATCAGTCCCTCAAGTGCTGGGATTATAGGCATGTGACACCACGTCCACCTTTCACTGGAATTTTTGTGGCACAAATACTGAAAGGCTCCCAGAGCTCTGTAGTAGTAACCCAGTTTCCTATATTCCCAACTCCAGAGCTTTTGATTCTGGGCTATTTCTAAAAGCGCTTTGGGTGATTGTGGAGTGTAGCATTTGATAATCTCTGAAAGATTGAGGAACTAAAAGTTTAAATTAACCTTTCCACTCACAGACTCTTTCGCTGTGACTCCCTGTTTATACCTTCCATCTC